CCTTCGTAATTACACCCCCCACCGCCCAGGTAGGTACCCCCCCACTGCTGCAGCCCCCCAGGTAGGTACCCCCCACCTGCTGCTGAAGAGGACTTGGAGGCCGCCTCGCAGCTTGGGGATCCTCGGGTGCCGGCGTGGGAGCCCTAAGAGGTGGCCGGGAGCAATGCCCCCAGCCTGGCGTGCCCCGGACCGTGGCCCCGGTGAGTATCTGGTGTGGATGCTGGTTGTACGGGATGGTTTGAGGCAGGATCATCCTTGCCCTGCTGGGCTCGGCAGCCTCTAGAGCTCCCTCCCTTTCAGCCTGGCTTCTCTAGGGCTGCCCTGGTCTTCCAGGCAAGTGTCACACATCCTAGACAAACCAGGCTGGAAGGGACCCAGCTGCAGGGGTTGTGTCCAGTCCCTGCCCCAGCTTGTTGCAGGGCTGTCACCCTCCCAACTGCCACCACAAATGGAGGGTGTCTTTGTGAAGCTGCCGGTGGTGCTTCGGCTGCTTTGGAAAGGGATCCATAGAGAGCCAAGGGAGTGGGTGTGCAGTTTTGAATCGGGCTTGTGTCAGGGATGATGATTGCCTTGTGTAAAGTTCAGGTTGTTGATTTGCATGGGATGGTTTGGATGGGGATGATCCTGCCTGAGGCAGGGGGTTGGGTTAGATCAGTGCTTCTCAGCCTGCGGATCGTGACCCAAAAGAGGGTTGCAGGAATATACAAAAGGGTCACAAGCAGACTTTAAAGATGGATTCTTTAAAGGAGAAAAATATGAGAAACCGTGGCTTTGCCCATGCAGGCTGGAGGAGTTCCAGCTTGCCAGGGGCTGCTTGCCCCCCCTACCCCACACACTGGGGGGGCAAGCAGGTCAGGAGTGAGGGGCACTGGGTCAGGACTGGCCATTCGTGTTTACAAATGAATCCTGGTACAAAAAAGGTTGAGAACCACTGCACTAGGTGACCTCTGCTTCTCTATGGCTTCTATAAGATGCTTGGCTACATCAGTCTGGCCCCCTCAATTATGGTCTCCAGTCAAAATGGTGACCACATTTGACAACATGATAGCCCACCTGCCAGCTGCAGCCCCTCTATTTTCTTCCTCCTCCTTCCCCTCTTATTTTTTCTTTTCTCCTTCCTCTTGGGCCACTTGATAAATCCACAGTGTATCCACACCTTGAATGCCATGCCCAGATCTGGTCTCTGCACCTCAAAAAGGATATGCAAGAGTCGGAGAAAAAGATCTGGGAGGCACTGGGGACAGTTTGCTGACAACATTGGCTTGGTACTCAGCAGCTGTCAACAAGGCAAACAAAATGTTAGGGGTTATGAAGAGGGGAATAGGAAACAAAACAGAAAGCATCATCATGCCCCTGTATAAATCCATGGTGTGTCCAGACCTTTAATAATGTCCTCAGTTCTGGTCCCCACACCTCAAAAAGGATATAGAAGAAGAACTAGAGGAGGTCCAGAAAAGGGCACTAATGATGATTAGTGGTATGGAGGGGCTCCTGTAGGAGGAGACACTAAAGAAGCTAGGCCTATCCAGTTTAGAAAAGAGAGGCTTTGTTATTGGGGGGGACACACATGAGAAGGGTTTACAAAAGGCTACATGGCAAAGAGAAAGCAACTAGGGATTTTTTATTGACTCTTTCTTACAATGCAAAAACTAGGGGTCATTAAATGAAACTAGCAGGCAGTCAGTTTAAAAAGAACAAAAGGAAGTTCTTTTTCACACAACATGTTATTACAGTGTGGAAATCATTGCTACCACATGTTGGAGAAGCTGTGAGTGTTGGAGAAGCTGAGAGTTTAGCCAGAATTCAAAAAAGGATTCGACCAGTTCTTGGAGGAAAGGGGCATCAGTAACTGTTCAGCCTGGGAGTGAGGGGCACAGCTCTGAATCAGAACTTCCTAGACCTTGAATGCTGAAGGATGCAAGTGAGAGAGGAACAGTGGGGTTAACTCTGGTTGTTTTCCAGTTAACTCTCTCTTTTAACATCCGCTCTGCCACTGTGACACACAGGAAACTGGGCAAGATGGACCTGGCATCTGACCATAAAATGGCAGTTTTTATGCTCCTATGTTCTCACCTCTCCCCTCAACACCACTGCATGTTCAAAATAGTATCCCCCTACTGCTGCTTTGCCAGCTGCCCCACCTGTCCCAGTGCTGACTCCCCGATCCCACTGTTCAAGACTGACTTAAAGAAAATAAGGACTTGTTGCAGACGTGCATTCTACAATTCTGTTATCAAGTACAATACAATTGTGGCTTTTGATCATGCCACTGAGTGAAGTGCAAGTTTCTTATTGGGAGAAATCTTAACATGGTCTCCCTGCCCCTGTAACCCTAGTCCAAATCTATTGAATGTGTTGTAGCATTAAACTACTTACAGCTCAGAAACATGTTGCCTAATGCTACAAAAAGGGTAGCACGTGTGCCTTCTAGTACATCTAAAATTCATGGCAAAATACTATTAGTAACACAGGGAACTTGAAGCATATTTGCAGATGATTTAAAGTGGGATGTTTAGAAACAAAACATGCTTTCATTGTGCTTTAATAAAGCAGTGCTCCTTTGCAGTCTCTACTTCCCAAATAAGCAGCTGTGCCCTTCTAGCCCAGAAAAGTGTTGGAAACGCTAATCCGGTAAATAATAGTCATGCATACTATATCATGCTAGATTTACTTAGCATTCATAAATAGGCAGCTTCTTTGGTGTTTGGTTTTACAGATCAGGGACACATCCTCTAGTGCAGTGGTTCTCAGTCTTGTTAGACTTGAGTCACCCCTTTCGATGTCAAGCTCACTTTTTGACTGTGGAAAAGTAATAGAGCATTTTGAACTCTGGAGGGACCACAACACTTTGAATAGTTTTGACCCTATGGATTCCTATTTAGAATCTGTTGGTTTATGTTTGTGAATCATCTGTAGGTGTTTGCGCACCTAACCCTGCTAATACTGGGCAGCACCTCATGGCACTTGTAGCAGGATCTTGTGGCACCTTGGCTGAGAATTGCTTCTCAAGTGCTTCTGCAAGGTGCCCTAATACAGTCCTTACTACAACTTCATCAGGTCCCCTCCCTTTTTGTTCTGTGTCTTGAAATTGCTGGTCTCTGGCTCCCTAATGTGCAGTGCAGTACAGCAGAACCGAGTCTAGAGTGTAGCAGCCAGCCGCCCAGAACTAGCATTTTTGAGGAACTGCCATAGATCATATTTTTGTGGTTCCAAAGCACACAGGAAGAAAGGTAGAAGAGGGCCTGGGAAGAGGCACTGGGGAAGGTATTTCAAAATTGTTGGGTGCAACTTTTACCTTTGAACCTGAACAATAACTGCCTGTTACTTTTCTTGCTGCCTTTATAGGACCTGCACCCGAGGTGTCCAGATTCTCACGGACACCATTTAACATGAGGCCAACATGTGGCAAACTTGCATGTGAAGTGGGAGAAAACAACAAAAGCGGAAGTATTTGACTTCAAAGAAGCTTCTGAAAAATAAGGGAAGGCAGTGCAAGAGTGAAAGAGGTTTTTCCTGGGATGAGAAGTGAGAGCAATGGTTTCCAATAAGGGACCTGGGAGAAAAGGGGCTCTCTGTCACCAGGAAGCTGGATGAAAAGAGATTCACTGTTACAGGGCAGGGCCTTGCTGTGACCTGAGAAACTACAGAAACAGACAGGATGAAGCAGACAGCTGACGGAGCTAAGGAATGGATGGATGTTGCTGACAAAGTGTACTTCCTAACAAAGTCTCCTGCCTCCTTAGTCTTTGATGCTTCACTGCATTCAGAGCTGCCAGCTTTTTATCATCCTCAGCTCTACAGACTCTGGAGAACCTCAGCCACAGCTCCTCCCATGTGGCAGCGAAAACAGCAGCTTGTGGGAGCAGAACTTCATTGATCCTTCCAACCCAGCCTTGGGGTTGGTACCATGTCATTCCAGCCACCAGGAGAAAAGGCCGAGGCAACAAAAATGTCAAATCCAAGCTGTTCTTCCAGATTCTAAGCATTAGCAACGTTTCCTGACAGCAAAAAGCTGTGTCCTTCTGTTTTTAAAATGCATAGAGATATGCGATATATATGTGACGAGTGCTGTCTTATAGACAATAACACCCCTACCATCCTCCCTCCTGGATAGTAGGCTCTGGCACTGAAACAGACCATCCACTGAAAGTATAATTACCACATTCAGAAACTCTTGAAAATATACAAAACCACACAATACAGACCTTGCTTAATGAAAATACAGCCTCCCTCACAGGGGAAGTGCACTGTTACCACTGATATTTCCCCGACAGTAAACTTAAACCCCACATCCCATTCAAAGTCAGCAAAGGCATGTAGAGTATACATGCTGCTTAGCAAAAAACCAAAAAAACCCCACAGAGCCCAGCAGTGAATTGCAAGCACTGTTACTAGCACATCTCTACTACAACAAACCTTGCCAGGCAACTAAGGGTTAGGCAGGTGTTTGTTACTTCTATGAGCCTTCAGTTAGCACCTGCTCCACCTTCCCTCCGATCTCTCAGATGCATGCTGTGCTGTCATGCTGCAGCTGCTTAGGTAGTACTTAAACGGTTCTTTTCTGTCATCCATGCAGCCAGTAAAGAGCTCTCTGCCATTGTAGCAGAAGGCAAATGGATTCTCCCAAGATAAGGGGAGGACTCTGAATACCATAGTGCTAGCCAGGCTAGTAAATCAGTTTTTTCTTTTTCTTTTTCTTTTTTAACCCCACTATTGGAGACAGGCGAGAGTTCCTGTAGAGTTCATGTGCCAGACCATGGCATGCAGTGGCATTTTGCTTGGCCCACACACCTCAGGGTAGACAGTGGGGAAGGGGCTGGGGCTGTGCTGCCACAGCAAGGATCAGGCCCTTCATAGCTTCCCTGCTGTTTTCTGGCATACCAACTTCCTACAAGTCAAGGTTGCAGATATTTTTGGCACTCTGCCCAAAAACACTGCTGACTCCTGTAGATACTGGTGTTGCAAATTCTTCTAGACTGGGGCCAGAAACCCCTAGCATGTGTGGCACAAGAAGCCATGTTTATCAGCACACCACAGCCAGTGCAGACTTTGGGCAGGCTCCTGCTGCCAGCTACAGAGCCCAGGCTGGTCATAGCAGGGATGCTGCAAGCAGCTGTAATGGGGTCCACAGAGCCCCAGCCCAGCTCATTGCCAGAGGCAAGTGCGGACACACCTTGGGGCAGACAGTGGGGAAGGGGCTGGGGCTGCACTACCACAACAAGGATTGAGTCCCTCACAGCTCCCTTACCATCTGTCCCTGGCATGCCAACATCTTACAAACTGAGGTTGTGGGGGGTTTTGGCACTCTACCAAAAAAACTTTGCCAGCCCCTGTTCTAGATCATCTTATATGGTGGCCTGATGAGGCCTTGAAGCACAACTGAGTTCTGTTTTTGAATTCTCAGATCTGTACATGAGAACAAATAGTTGGAAGATGGATTTGCTCTGATGCTGTTGATCCCACTTCTGTATGCACAGCTATCTAGAGGATCGGGAAACCTTGCCACAAAGGCTGACAGTATCTTTTTAATAGCAGCACACATGTAACAGCTTCAACTGCCAAACTTCCTGCATCAAGTTGGTTAGCAACTGAGTGGTAATAAGGGGAGAAGGTAGTAATAGGTGCCAAGCATTCAGGTGGCAATGGCCCACCTTTCTGAATAGATAAGGAGGCACTCATCCATTGGTGTACTGCTGCTACAGATCTGGGTTAAGCTGGGTGCAGGTCTCCAGGGAAGGAAAGAACCCTTAGTTGTCTGAAGGGTGTACAGTCCGATCTTGTATGGCCAGTTGATGCTCAAACCTCAATATGCTGTTGCATTTAAAGGAATCATTCCAAAAAAAGTCCTTCCGGAAGCAACTGCTCAGTCTCCTTGTTCTCCTTTTCTGTGCTCTTCTTTTCCTCCTCATCCATGTTCTCTTTCTCATTTTGATGCAGCTGTTGCTGGGTAACGTGGTAGTCAGGACATAAAGCTGTAGCTGTCTGGCAGCAGTGCATTGGAATGTATCTGTACAATGAGCTGCAGATTCCCAAGTATGAGTATCACAGCTCTAAGCATATTAGGAGTTTGAAAAGGGTGCCAGCTATCCAGAAATGTCCAATCATGGAATAGCGTATGGGGATTTTAGAGTTTGATCCCTGGATGTGCATTGCAACGGCCTGTGGCTAACTTCTGCTAGGTATCCCACTGCACATCCTAGGACAGGGGTGGGCAAAATGCGGCCCAGGGGCCGGATGCAGCCCACCAGGCCATTCTATCCAGCCTGCAGGGCCCCTAAAAATGTAGAAAATTAATATTAATCTGCTCTGGGCTGCCTGTCGTGCGGCCTTTGATGGCTTTCCGAAACTCAGTAAGCGGCCCTCTGCCCAAAATAATTGCCCACCTCTGTCCTAGGAACAATCCCATGATGCCTACAGGTCAACAGCACAAAAGGATGTGGGATACCTGGCCACTCTGCTGAGCACATGCTTAGAATTTCCTCTGCATCTGCAAGGAGTGGCTTACTAGTAAAATAAAAGCCAGTTGTTCATTTAGAGGAGGCTGTTACTTTTCTGTAACTATGAAGCAATTACAGTGAAGCATCTCACTTCACAGTAAATCCCTACCCCACTGAAGACAAGCCCTCAACTTCATAAATCCCCTTTGCAGTGTGGTGAGGAATATGCCTTTAGCCTGGTTAACAGCCATTTCCAAAGTGCTTGAAAAGGGGTCTTTGCATGAGAGCCCTGCTTTTGTATGACACACATTGGTTGTACTGTTAACTTGCTGCTTATGAAACTGTCCCATCTGTGTGTAAAATGGATGTCTGATCTTTCCTCTAGTTGGTGATGGTGAGTCCAACATCAGAACAGTATGACAGCTTGCTGCGGCAGATGTCAGAGAGAATTGATGAGGGCTGTGGAGAGACCATCTATGTAATTGGGCAAGGATCAGGTGAGCATATATTCCATCTGAAAGTAAGAATTAATACTATGAAAACATTGGTTCATTTTAGTCTGTCAATTGCCAAAGGCAGTACCTGGTGTTTCAGAGACACCTCCACACTAAACAGCATGCAGGACAGCTTCTTCCTCAACACCTGGCTGTTGCTTGGCAAGATGTGGTTTGTTTACAATATTATTGTCTTATCTGCCATAGCTCTAAATATTATTGATATAAAATCATGCAGACTCTTTGAAGTAAGAATGATTGGCATTAGAGCATGTTACTGCAAGATGAAAGCTCTGCAGTTGTATCATCAGTCCTGATACAGACTCCCTCCCTGCTCAGGTGTGCTCACTTTATCTGTGTACTGTAAATTTCTTTAGTTTGTAAAATGGGAGCTCCTCACAGGAGTACTTCAGAAGTGTTTTAATCTAATTACAGGTTTTAACAGAAGCATCTGCTTCTGACTTCTGGAAGTGTATGTCATAGATTGCCTGTACTATATAATGGCTTTAATTTTATATATGTTAGGTGTGGCAGCAGTCATTTATCTTTGCAGCTTTGATATGTCTGTCCTTTGCCCTCTTTTGCAATTCAGTTTTTTGAAGGCACCTCATACTGGCAAGCAGCATTGCACTTCCTTAGAGAAATTTGAGGCACAGGCACCATGGTGGGGGAAGGTGAAGAGAACCCTCCTCCCTAGTGGGGGATTCCCTTTTCCTGGCAACTCATTCCTCCCGTGTCTTGGCCAGGGATTGAATCTAGGTCTCCCATGCGGCAGGTGAGAACTCTACCACTGAGCCATCAATCCCTGGGCTGCTGCCTGCAGCTCCTGGGCTCTAGTCCCTCTAGGATCCTGTGTGTGCCACCTGCACACCAAGCCAGCTGCCCAGGGATCAAAAGAAAAAAAGGGCCCCAAGCTGCCACCTTCAGCTTGGGGTTTGGGTCCCTCCTGGACCCACTCCTCACCGCCCTGTGCGCCGAGCCAAGCTGCTGCTTTGGCTCGGAGGCTTCAGTCCTGCCCAGACCCGTCTGCGCGCTGCCCTGTGTGCTGCTGCAGTCAAACCACTTTCTGTGGCTCCCAGGCTCAGGGTCCCCCTGCTGGAGACTCGCTGTGCACTGCCCCATGCACCAAGCAGCCGAGCCAAGCTAAGCCAAGCCGCCCCCTGCAGCTCCCAGGCTCCTGGTCCTCGCTGGAGACTTGCTGCTCACTGCCCCATGCATTGAACAACCAAGCCAAGCTACCTCCTGCAGCTCCCAGGGCTCGTCTGGGGCAACCGCTCCACCCCACTGGCCAGCTCTTCAGAACTTCTCTGCTTGATCCCTCCTCATCTCCACCAGGCCAGGTGCACTGCCCCTTTTATCCCCCGCCCCCCAGGTGGCCAGTGGGACCAATCAGCAGACATGAAGTGAGTCTTTGCTCAGGTCCAGTTTCTCTACCTGGCTCCTGGGTGGGGGGGTAGCCTTCTCCTTTTCCAGGGGTCTGATTGGTGAAGAAAAAGGATTCCCCCCTACTCCCCACCAATCATTTTTGAACTTTTCAAAACCCCTGGGCCAAGCCACTACTGGTTACCCTGTCACATCTGTATCTTAATGTCTGTAGTTTTTACTCACAAGAAAATTGTAAATCCAGTCAAATTTACAAAATGTGTTGTTTGTATTGTTGGGGACTCCACTGGTCCCTGTATCTACTTGCTGACTTTGGTGGTTATATAGCCACATTTCTCCCTTTTAAAACATTCCTTTGTTGCAATATCAGAGATGAATGGGGGGATTGGGTATGTGGTATGGGCTGTTACGTACACAAAATAAGAAAACGAGGGGGAGAAAGCAGAACTCTTACTTCCCTTTCTGTGATTCTTGTGTGTTACTTTTCCAAAAGTGTTTTACCTATGATCATTACAAAGTCTGGCTTAATTTGCTGGTGCCCTTTTAATTTCTTTAAGTCTTAATGTTAAAATCATATATTTCCTTTAGAAATAGGATGTTTCCCCTGTTTTCTTGTGCTTGTGTTTTTCTGATATGTGTAGGTGTCATTCAGTGCCAAAGATGACAGCTGTTAGGAAAATAAAATTCCCATTTGTTGTAGGCTAGGGAGCAACAATAACTTTTTATTCTTTCCCTTCAACCTCTTGTTAGATGGGACTGAGTATGGCCTGAATGAGGCAGACATGGAAGCATCTTATGCCACACTGAAGAGCATGGCAGAACAGATTGAGGCAGACGTGATCCTCCTACGGGAGCACCAGGAGGCAGGAGGCAAGGTGCGCGACTACCTTGTTCGCAAGCGCGTGGGTGACAACGACTTCCTGGAGGTCAGGTGAGGAGATGCGTGCAGGTAGGGTTAGTCAGCAACACAGCCACATTTCTTTTATCTGAGCAATGGGTGGTGCCAAGCCAGTGACACTGATTTGCATGTGGGTGTTGCAGGCACTCAAGAAAAGAAGCAAGTCGACCACTCCTTGCTAATTAAATCTATTTTTTCCCTTTTGATATACAAGAGAGTCTACAGTGACCTATGGCAGAGACTCCTGTATCTGGGTAACAACTGCTCAGTTTGGGGGTTTCTTTCTGTGGGCTGAAAGCACCTCAAGGAATCTCCTGTGTGTTTAGCAATTTCTATGGGGGCATTTGGGACTCTTGCAAGGAGAGAGCTTTCTAAAATAAAACAGGTTGTGGAATAAGACATCCTTTGCTGTTTAATTAGCAGTTCAGTTTTGCCCAGATTTCTAGCGACCAAAGTTCTCTTTTGATGAGTGCCTAGCATCTTCTGTAAAATAGCTTGAGGGTCTCAGCACAGTTCCAGATGCACCAAGTTTCTGCATCTCACAAATGGCAACCACTGGTGGTGCTCATTGTCCATGAAGATACCCATATGTGAACTGAGTCTTGCAGAGTATTTCCCCTACAAGTGGTCCTTTGGGTTAGGGCGTATGTTGCTGCTCCAACTTTACCCACCCACTCTAAAAACAGAATGTTTAAATGTCCAGGCTATCCCCAGCATCTGTTGCTAGTAATGAATTAACATGACAAGCTTGGAGGAATTCTAAGGGAAAACTAAGTTGAGAGCTGTCTCCTTATTTTGAAGTGCTACAATGAATATATCTGAGTGAGTGTCAGGTTTTGGGAAACAATTATACTGTGAATCTCATCAGGCTTTCCTGGATTGGTTTAACTTCCTGTGTCCTTGCTTGGACACCAACAAGAGACTTCCATACTTCTGATCCAGAGGTTATGTAGCCCATGGACTTCGGGCTCCTCCTCTGTAGACTAGAAGCTACAAAGTAGATCTCTGCTCTGTTTCTGAGGATCCAATGCTCTTTGAAACAGCTTGGGAATGTTACTGTTATTTCCATGTGAGTCAGGACGAAAGAACGCTAAATTATTTTCTCCTGTCCTCTCTAGGGTAGCAGTAGTTGGCAATGTGGATGCAGGAAAAAGCACATTACTGGGAGTCCTGACACATGGCGAGCTGGACAATGGCCGAGGCTTTGCCCGGCAAAAACTCTTCAGGCACAAGCATGAGATTGAGTCGGGCCGTACCAGCAGTGTAGGCAATGACATCTTGGGTTTTGACAGTGAAGGCAATGTGGTGAACAAGCCTGACAGCCATGGAGGCAGCCTGGAATGGACCAAGATTTGTGAGAAATCCACCAAAGTCATCACTTTTATTGATCTGGCTGGGCATGAAAAGTACCTGAAGACCACAGTCTTCGGTATGACTGGCCACTTACCAGACTTCTGCATGCTTATGGTAAGTATTGTGCATTACGGCTAAGAGTAGATGCTCTTCAGAGTTGTAATGCATCCCCAGCTTCTCTTCTATTGAAGGACCACAGCAAAAGGGAAATGACAGTGTTCTCAGTAGGAAGAATATGATTGCCAATGTAGAGGCGTGGCCTGAACTCCATGGCTAATCCATGAGGCAAACACTATTGCATCTTCAGCAAACCTAAATGGTCAGGATTTGTTTAGTTTTAATCTGAAAACAAGCATTCTGAACACGTGAATAGAAAACTACTGCTACCCTAGCAGCTAAAAGTGAGGATGAGAAGTCAGTTCATCAACTGGTTAGACAGCCATTGGTGGGTTTAACATTCTTGCTTTTTTTTTGTGGGGAGGAGTCTGTTCCACACATGCATGATCCATGATTTCTGCTGTCCAATTACAGCTTGTTGAATGTCTGGTTTTCTGTGTCATCCAGCTCTTCATTGTTGTGACTTTCTTTACCTCCTCCCATGTCCCTGATGTAGGTTGGTAGCAATGCTGGGATTGTTGGGATGACCAAGGAGCACCTGGGCCTGGCATTGGCACTCAATGTTCCAGTCTTTGTTGTGGTGACCAAGATTGACATGTGCCCTGCCAATATCCTGCAAGGTAAATGAGAATCTCTCCAGCCAACTGCCCTTTGCTGTTAGGCACATTTACTTTCTCATGGCTTACCATTCTTCCCTCAACTGGGCTAACGTATTGCTGCTGAAGATGTAGTCTTGTACTTGGTTTGCTATGCTTACAGCCTAGATGCATTCTATAAATGCATGTTTTTTCTTCGTAAAGCTTTTCTCTTGCTAGTATTACAGCTACCAGCTTCCAAATGACCATTATTTGCATTGGGTAGACGTGTAGAAGAATTCTGCTTGACCAGGCTTTCTGGAAAAGAGGCAGCCAACTGCTTTTTGCTGATGTTGGATTAAGCATTTTCTTGGGATCTAAATATGGTAGAGGTCTCTGGGTGTTTTTCTGGGTGTTTTTTGCTTTTCCTTCTGGCCCTTTCCTATGTTTGAATGTATGCCCGGGATGTAATTAACCCTCTTTCTTTCATAAAATTCCTCTCCCATTTAATTTTGTTCCAGTGATGCCAGGGGCATGTTTCTGACCAGAATTACATAGGTCTTGAGAAGTGAAAAGGCTAATGATCTCACTGTTTTCTATAGCTAGTATTTTTTGTAAAAAAATCTGCATCCTTATGCTTTCGGTACACAGAAGGGAGTGAGCAGTAGATACTCTAAGTCTTAGGAAATGGAGGCATAACAGCTGTTTGGCAAATAATAAAGGAAATCCCAGTCATAAGGCCAGTAACTGGGCAAGGAAAGGAACACCCTTGATATGGATGAGGAATTAGACATTTTTAGCAAAGGACTTTGATCTCTGAGCCCACTGTAGCATCAAGTAAAGGGTCTTAAATGTGGAAAAATTGGCCCTTCACTTCGAGTTTTGTGTATGAGCTGCAAATTCCTTAAGCGAAGCTGGTGCCTCCATACCCAAAATGTTGTGCTTCTACCAGTTGACTTTTACGAACAGGGAGTTATGGTCTCTCCTTAAATAATAATTGGAAGGTATAAATTAATAGCCAGCTTGGACATTACTACTTCTTTGTAAGTGGGTTGCTTATCTGGCTGTCTTCTGCAAGCAGGTTTGCTCCCTGAGGAGCTCCTCAGCCAGTAGTCCCAAGCAAAGCACAATCTTTTAAATAAATAAAACCAAATCCTCTGTCCTGTCCTGGACATGAGGAAGAGAAGCCCCATTTGCTCTTGCTTCAGCACAGCAGCCCTGGTCTCTCTTGCAGCCTGCTTTTCTGCACACAGCTTGCTTCCTCTTCCCTTTGCCTACTCTTCTGGAGCTTTTAAAGCTCCCAGACAAGGCTTCCTTTTAATCCAAGTGACCCACAGCTGGGTTTTCTCAGTAGGGCTGACTTTTCCTTTGTAAAAGAACAGATACCTGGTTATACATTTCTTTTCCTGTCTATAGCACTACACAGTTGGGAAGGTATGTTGTAGGGGAATCATTTTCTGTATCCAGGAATGACTACTGCTGAGTCCAGGATACTGGCCTGAATAGGAACTGGTCTGCTCCTATCTTAGGGGAAGAGGGGAGCCAAATTATCTCCCATGGATATGTCTACACCACTGCAGCAGCATGCCCTGGCCAAACATTTCTGACCATGTTCTGAGATGGCTCTGAGGTTTCCACTAACTGCTTCCCAGGTCTCAGTTCCTGGTGTGCTTGAGAGAATCCATTGGGAACAAGCCCAAAGCAGCCTCACTGGTCTATTTCTGGGATTGGAGCATGCGTTTGGGGAGGGAAATGAGCTTTGCATATTTGGAAACATAATCGCTAAGGTACATTGCTGGGTAAGATATGTCTGCAGCGTAGCCATGTCCTGAATGTGCCTGCAGATTTGTGTTCTCCAGTGCTATTTTGTTTTCGGTTTTGTGTGCTACTCTTTAAGACCCTCTCGCTTCTGAGGACTTACAGCCATGAGTTCTCATTGGCAAGGCTGGCTATTTGTCAGAGAGAACACCACGGCCTGTCATGGCAAAAGAAGCGAGTCTCAATTCAAATACATTTCATTCCTGTCTTCTCACCAGCATCATTTGTCATGGGAAACTGAGGATAGTTGAATGTGTTATCAGCATTTAAAGCTATTTGTTGAACAACCTTAACTTTTTCTCTTCTGTCAAGAGCACAGAGGCAAATCCTTGACAGAACAGTGGTAATAGAACAGCTCAGCAGTATGTTGGCCAGCATGAAAGATATGACTGTTTGAGAGAAGGTGGAGAGAAAAGGCAGGGGAGTACAGTAAATTTGAACAGAAATCGTGACTGCACTAAGCACCAGCCTAACTCCTAAGTCTTCAGCCATTGTATCCTCTTTGTTCAGTGACAAGCATGCCTGTCTTCTTAAGGAAACCCACCAAAGACAGCTTGTAAAGAGGGGAGATGTTACCCTAACTATGTTCATTTTACTCTTTAAGAAACCCTGAAACTGTTGCAACGACTGCTGAAGTCTCCAGGGTGTAGGAAGATTCCTGTGTTGGTTCAGAGCAAGGATGATGTCATTGTAACAGCTTCCAACTTCAGCTCAGAGAGGTAATGAGAGTTGAAGAGCATGGTTGGTCCTACAGTGCTGTTTGGGGACTGGGTGAGACAACATGGAATAAGAATAAGACATCCAAACCTGTAGTGCTGTTACGTCTGCTGCGTAACAGGTTGGTTCCAAGTTTGGTCTTTCAGCATGTCCTGTCCCATCCCCCTGCCCCCACTCCCCACACACACACACAGAAGAGTAGTAAAAGTTTTCTGTTGGACAGTTCATGGAAATAGGAAGGGGAGTACAGATCAGGGCTCACAAGTCTCCTTTCTGAATGTTATTAGGAAGATGAGTTGTATTGCTAAATTTCAAAGATAGTGTGTTTTGCAGCTGGGTTTGACTGCCAGGTTCCCAATACTATGTATTGGGTTCAGTCCAAGATCTTGGGTGCCTTCCTGAAGGTGGAATGCAAATTAAAGATGGGGTGTGTGTTGTGGGGGAAAGATCTAACTACATATGTGTCTCTGTCTCCACAGGATGTGCCCAATATTCCAGATTTCTAATGTCACTGGTGAGAACCTGGATTTGCTAAAGATGTTTCTCAATCTCTTGTCTCCACGGACCAGTTATAGGGAGGAAGAGCCAGCAGAATTTCAGATAGATGACACTTATTCTGTCCCGGTAAGGAGTCTGGTGCTGAGAAGGGCTATTTGCTCTGTTTCTGAGACTGGGCATCATGTGAAATGGGGAGTTGCCTGGAAAGTTTGGACTCCATTGCTGCTTTCATGTGGTGGATGACTCCATTTACTGGTGTTTCTTGGTGCAGGGTGTAGGAACAGTAGTGTCTGGGACAACACTGAGAGGCCTGATCAAGCTGAATGACACCCTGCTTCTGGGTCCAGATCCCCTTGGCAACTTCCTGCCCATTGCTGTCAAGTCAATCCACCGCAAACGCATGCCAGTCAAGGAAGTCCGTGGAGGCCAGACTGCCTCCTTTGCTCTGAAAAAGGTGAGTGTATGACTTTTCCTGAGAATAGGGACCTCCTTTTGGCAGCATCCACTCACATCCTGGTTAAAGTAAGACTGTCTCCCCAAACCCAAAGACTAGGAGGGGAGAGCTCTTCAGTTACCATTTTATGGTATCTCACATAAGCTTAATGAGACCTAGAAGGATCAAACTCCATATCCTGTTTTCCTTTCACCATAGGTCAGCACATTGTCTGTGCTCTTTTCCTCGGCTGTGATTTCATCAGGTCCAAAATAGTAAGACAGGGCTGGTAGGAGACTCAGAATGAAATATGGGTGTTTACAAAGTTGAAGTTGGCAGATGATGCCAAGCTGGGG